ATTGCGATATTTTGATTTTTGTGGATCAGGTACCGGTAATGCGATACGTATTGCGATATATTGGTGATCTTGGTACCCGTAATGCGATACGTATTGGTGATATATTGTGATCCAGGTACCCGTAATGCGATACGTATTGCGATATATTGGTGATTCAGGTACCCGCAATGCAATACGTATTGCGATATATTGAGATTCAGGTTCCGGTATTGCAATACGTATTGCGATATATTGCGATTCAGGTTCCCGTATTGCAATACGTATTGCGATATATTGAGATTCAGGTTCCCGTATTGCAATAATGTATTGCGATATATTGATGATTCAGGTTCCCGTATTGCAATACGTATTGCGATATATTGCGATTCAGGTTCCCGTATTGCAATACGCATTGCGATATATTGCGATTCAGGTTCCCGTATTGCAATACGTATTGCGATATATTGCGATTCAGGTTCCCGTATTGCAATACGTATTGCGATATATTGTGATTCAGGTTCCCGTAATTGCAATACGTATTGCGATATATATTGCGATTCAGGTACCCGTATTGCAATACGTATTGCGATGATATTGCGATTCAGGTTCCGTATTGCAATTCGTATTGCGATATATTAGGATTCAGGTACCCGTAATGCGATACGTATTATGATATATTGTGATTCGGTTCCCGTATTGCGATACGTATTGCGATATATTGCGATTCAGGTTCCCGTATTGCAATACGTATTGCGATATATTGCGATTCAGGTTCCCGTATTGCAATACAAGTATTGCGATATATTGCGATTCAGGTTCCCGTATTGTGGTAATACGTATTGCGATATATTGCGATTCAGGTTCCCGTATTGCAATATGTATCGCGATATATTGAGATTCAGGTTCCCGTATTGCAATACGTATTGCGATATATTGCGATTCAGGTTCCCGTATTGCAATACGTATTGCGATATATTGAGATTCAGGTTCCCGTATTGCAATACGTATTGCGATATATTGAGATTCAGGTTCCCGTATTGCAATACGCATTGCGATATATTGCGATTCAGGTTCCCGTATTGCAATACGTATTGCGATATATTGGCGATTCAGGTTCCGTATTGCAATACGTATTGCGATATATTGAGATTCAGGTTCCTGTATTGCAATACGTATTGCGATATATTGAGATTCAGGTTCCCGTATTGCAATACGTATTGCGATATATTGCGATTCAGGTTCCCGTATTGCAATACGTATTGCGATATATTGCGATTCAGGTTCCCGTATTGCAATACGTATTGCGATATATTGAGATTCAGGTTCCCGTATTGCAATACGTATTGCGATATATTGAGATTCAGGTTCCCGTATTGCAATACGTATTGCGATATATTGCGATTCAGGTTCCCGTATTGCAATACGTATTGCGATATATTGCGATTCAGGTTCCCGTATTGCAATACGTATTGCGATATATTGAGATTCAGGTTCCCGTATTGCAATACGTATTGCGATATATTGCGATTCAGGTTCCCGTATTGCAATACGTATTGCGATATATTGCGATTCAGGTTCCCGTATTGCAATACGTATTGCGATATATTGCGATTCAGGTTCCCGTATTGCGATATATTGCGATTCAGGTTCCCGTATTGCAATATGGATTGCGATATATTGAGATTCAGGTTCCCGTATTGCAATACGTATTGCGATATATTGCGATTCAGGTTCCCGTATTGCAATACGTATTGCGATATATTGAGATTCAGGTTCCCGTATTGCAATATATTGCGATTCAGGTTCCCGTATTGCAATATGGATTGCGATATATTGAGATTCAGGTTGCCGTATTGCGATATATTGAGATTCAGGTTCCCGTATTGCAATACGTATTGCGATATATTGCGATTCAGGTTCCCGTATTGCAATATATTGCGATTCAGGTTCCCGTATTGCTATACGTATTGCGATATATTGCGATTCAGGTTCCCGTATTGCAATACGTATTGCGATATATTGGGAACTTCAGTGTGTATGACAGTCAGTGATACCAATAACACGTCGATCCTATTTTCTACATTATAAGTCCCCAAACATATGTTATGGTTCTGATAACAGCAATCTGAAAATTAGGCTGCATAGTCAGGGATTCTATTTTCCTTTTTATACAATTTATTGCATTACAGTATGCAGTTTTGTCATTGAATAACGAAAGAAAACATTTGTTGTGAATGAACGTCTGTGTTGATTTTAATTTAAACCATAAAGATTATCACAGAAACTTCAAATATGCACTTTACCCAATACATGGGTTCTCAGAAAAAATATTGCAATACGAATCGTTTGTAAAGCGTATTGCGATATACCGATATACCGGTAATACCGTGTAGTCCTACCAAGAACAGGAACACGGCTGCATCTGTGTACATAGTACACACTTACTTACTTACCCTTTTCTTGAAAAGAAATAGAATACAAAAAACAAGGTCGTAAAACACACGACAGGTACAACATTAACATCAAAAGGTCCCTCAAGGATGACAGTATGACCTAGTTCCACAGTGCAAAATTATTTCTGTAACCACATTGCCTTTGAGGTTTAGCTTTCCACTTAACCCGAGAAGCCGTGACGGTTAAATAACAGTCAGATCATGACGGCTATTTTCGTTAAATCCAGTCTCATTATAAAGGTTGCCTTATTCTATACCTCTCTTCCCGGTGACCTTGGGGGTCAGGACATTGACATTAATGGCCCAGGATGTATATTGAAAGTACGAAATGCCTCTTAGATGACTGTCAAGGCCCCAAATACCTTGTAGATATCCTTTAAACAATCCAATACCTGTTATGTGTACATTTAAGGCCCAATAATCTGGAAGATCTCCTTAAACGTCCCGAAATGCCTGGAAGGTAACATGAAGGCCAAAGATATCTGGTAGATGTCCACTGAATTTACCAAATGCATGTTAGATGACTTTCAAGGCCCCAAATACCTGGAAGATATCCTTTAAACAATCCAATACATGTTGTGTGTACATTTAAGGCCCAATAATCTGGAAGTTCTCCTTAAACGTCCGAAATGCCTGGAAGGTAACATGAAGGCCAAAGATATCTGGTAGATGTCCACTGAAAGTATCAAATGCATGTTAAATGACTTTCAAGGCCCCAAATACCTGGTAGATATACTCTAAAGAAACCAATACCTGTCATGTATACATTAAAGGCCCAATAATCTGCAATATCTCCTTAAAGGTCCCCAAAGTGCCTGGTTGATGACATTAAAATCCCAAAATATCTGGTAGATGTCCACTGAATGTACGAAATGCCTGTTAGATGCCATTAAGGCCCAAATACCTGGTACATATCCTTTAAAGAAACCAACACCTCTTCTGTGTACATTAAAGGGTTAAAGTTCTGGTAGATCTGTTTCAAAGTTCCATAATGCCTTTTAGACGACATTAAAGGCCCCAAATCCCTGTTTGATGATATTAAAGCCCCAAACTGACTGTTAAATGCCTTTAAGGCCCCAAATCCCTGCTAGATTATATTAAAGCCCCAAAATGCTTGTTAGATGACTTTCAAGGCCCCAAATGCCTTGTAGATATCCTTTAAACAAACCGACATGTGTACATCATAGAGCCAAACTCTGGCAGATCTCCTTCAAAAGTCCCCAAATACCTGGCAGATGACATTAAATGCCCAAAATACCTGGTAGATATCCCTTAAAGAAACCAATGCCTGTTATGTACTGTCTATGTCTAAACAGTATTGGAAACAACATTACAGATCCAATCTTGCCAAGCTATGGGCTATCTACCTTTACATCGTTCTGCTTACCTGCACACATCTCTGACCGTGGTCATTTAGCCGTGAAGTACACTTGTCTTTCATGTTATTGATGTGCCTGGCTGTAAAGATCCCAGAAATAGATTGTTTCACGTTGTCATGGCAACGAAGGTGGCTCCATTGTATCAACTGATATACTCCACCAAATATAGACTCGCCTGACCGATCTCTGAATTGGTGACTAGAAATATTTATTAACTCTTGATGTAAACGGTGCTGTGACGCGGGTCTTGTTCGAGTCATTAACTGGTGTATGCATCACGAAATATTCAACGATGTCTCTTTGTACATTCCTTAATGTGTTCCTTCATGTGTGACGTTTTCTCTATACGTTCCCCAACGTATTCTCCTCTCATACAGGTTCTCGTGTGTCCCTTTCCGGTCGTTGTTTCCACTGAAGCGTCCGTAAAATACTCCTCACACTTGTACTCCTGGTACTTGTCGTCATCGTTACGTTTGTCTTGTGGTCTGTGCAGTAGTGGTAGTTGTAGCGGTAGTGACAGTTGTAGTGGTAGTGGTAATAGTAGTTGTAGCAGCAGCAGCAACCAGCAACGGTAGTAGTAGTAGTAATAGTAGTAGTAGTAGTAGTAGTAGTAGTAGTGAGGTGAGGTGAAATTGGGTTTAACGTCGTGCTTGAGCATACTTCGCTCATATGACGACGTGCATGCGTGTGTATGTGTAGGTGCGGCTGCTTGTACTAGCCCAGACTGTAGTGGTTAGAGCGTCCGCCCGGAGAGCGGAAGGTCGCGGGCTCAATCCCCGACCGCGTCATACCAAAAGACGTTAAAATATGGTACTTGTTGGTCCCTGCCTGGCGCTCGGCATTCATGGGTACAACAAGGACTGGTCGGCTCGGAGTCAGTATAATGTGTCTGAGTGGGGTATTCATGCTTCACTGTGGCATGGTATCACAGTGGGCTAGCACTATAAAACCAGCTTAAGTCTGGGCTAGTACAAGCAGCTGCACATACACATACACACGCATGCACGTCGTCATATGAGCGAAATATTCTCAAGCACGACGCTAAACCCAATTTCACCTCACCTCACCTCACCTCGCCTCACCTTGGTTGCACACTTTAATTTCACCCTTACGTTTTACTCATAGGTTTCACCCTGAAGTTTCACTCTAAGGTTTCCACCAAGCCATGTTATGTTCTTAACTGTTTCAGGTCTGGGGTTCGGGATCGCGTTCATTCCTGCCATCACAGCAGTAGCTCACTGCTTCGAAAAATACAGAGGCATCGCTACTGGAATAACAGTGTCCGGAGTTGGTGTGGGCACGTTCATCTTTCCCCCAGTCATAACGCTTCTACGTCACATGTTCGGCTGGAGGAGTTCTCTCCTCTTGGTCGGCGCCATCTGCCTGAACATATGTGTGTGTGGAGCTCTCGTGCGACCCGTGCGGCGTGTGGAGCTTAGACAAGAAAAACCAAAAGTGTTTGACGTCACAGCCTTCCGCAAATGCGCGTATCTGTTTTTAGTTTGTAACAACGTTCTCGTTTGCTTTGGACTTTCAATAGTGTATCTTCATCTAATGGCGTTTGCCGAAGTAAGTGGACGAACGGAAAACGAGAGTTCAATGCTGATGTCATCCATTGGTGTCGCCAATCTGATTGGACGCTTTGCACTTGGTTCGTTCGGTAACCATCCACGCGTGAATGTGGTCATTGTGTATTCAGTGTGTTTCATATTAAGTGGGATGACGGCATGCTTCTACCCGGTGCTTAGCAACAGCTACATTGCCATGGTGACATTGTCTTCGTTGTTTGGCTTCTTCACTGCCTGCTTTGGAGCCCTTTTACCAGCGCTTCTTGTGCAGATTCTTGGAATTCACAGATTTGCAAATGGCTATGGCTTTCTGATGATCTTCATGGCTCTGGGACAAATGATTGGCGGGCCATTTGCTGGTGAGTGATTTTCCAACGTTTATCTATTTTGTAACATGGGCCCTGTCGTTTGAGTCGCGTTATTCGTTTCGCAGAGTTGCGTCCCTTGGGTTGGCCAGAAGCCTGTAATTGTGGATTCGAATCCCGATTATGTCCCTAAGTTTGCTAACGTGGCAAATGTCTGAGACCTACATCACCTCGGCCTTTCCTTCGTTGCCTAAATTGGGCGGTGCGGGTAGCCTTGAGGTTAAAGCGTTCGCTGGTCATCCCGAAGACCCGGGTACATTGTGTAACCGATTTCTTGAGTCTCCCACCGCGATATTGCCGGAATATTGCTAAAAGCGGCGTAAAACTAAACCCACCCACTCACCCATTGCCTATTAAGTTATTGTTAAGAGTGGGGCGGTGGGGTAGCCGAGTGGCTAAAGCATTCGCTCGTCACGCCGAGGACCCGGGTTCGATTCCCCACATGGGTACAATGTGTGAGGCCCATTTCTGGTGTCCCCCGCCGTGATATTGCTGGAATATTGCTAAAAGAGGCGTAAAACCCAACTCACTCACTATTGTTAATAGTGGCTTTAAACGCAACTCACACACTCACTCACTCTTACCGTCATTCATAGCATCGTTATTGTTTCAGGGCTGCTCTACGACATCACTGGTTCCTACGATACTTCATTCTACGTCGGAGGCTCTGTCATCATCCTAGGAGGGGTTCTCCCCCTTTTCAAAGCGTGTCGCAAGAAGGCGGACAATGAAATGTCAGATCTGGAAGTCGCTGTGGTTGAAGAGGAGAAACAACCACTTCCGGCAGCTTAATGACGTCATAATCTATGACGTCACATAATTTAATGTTGCCGTGCAACAGTTAAATCTTTACCCATATGTGGGTATGTGATCTTTGTAAGCTTGTGATATTTGAATGCGGAGAGGACACATGGCTGAGATTGTATGTCTGGCGGCAATGTAGCTGTAGTATAAGGCATGTCAGAAAACTACGCCGAAAGAGTGACAGCATGAGCACATTTTTTCTCAAACGTAATGAAAAGGAGATTAAGCGCATTGAAAGCAAAAGTGATGGTGCAAAAACATTTTTATATTTTTGTTTCCTCATGAAGGGGCAGTGGGGTAGCCCAGTAGTTAAGCGTTCTCTCGTCAAGCCGAAGACCCGGGTTCGATTCCCCACATGGTACAATGTGTAAAGCCCATTTCTGGTGTCCCCCGCCGTGATATTGCTGTAATATTGTTAAAAGCGGCGTAAAACCAAACTCGCTCACTCACTCATCACGAAAAGCAACAAACTCTCGGGCACTTTGTTACATGGACAACCGATTATGCAACAAGTTTCGCTAGAAATTGGACGGAACATTTTCTTTCTTGGCGATATGATTAGGTGGCGCGTAGTTCAATGTGTGACGCAAACAATGATTGCCATAAGAGACGACTAACGGGAGGTTACCAGTCTCGCTGACTTGGTTAACACGTCATCGTATCGCAGTTGCGTAGATCCGATGCTCATACTGTTGATCACTGGATTGTCTGGTCTTGACTTAATTATTTACGGACAGACGCAATAAAGCTGGAATATTGCTGAGTGCGGCGTAAAACAACACACAACCAAATCAAAGCGTGACGCGCTGATGCCAAAGAAAAAAAAATTCAGACAAAACGTACCACTAAAAAAAGTTTAAAGAACACCCACAACTGGTTATCTTGGTGTTGCAATACAAACCGCCCATGAAAGATTGACTATAGTCATGTGAAAACACTGGGTATTTAATGTATAGTACTAGGACATGTAATGTGAATTTATTCATGCGTGTTACTTTTTCTTACACAACACTACCCAAATATGGACGAAAATTCCTGAGAACATTGTTTTTGTTGTCTATAAAAGCTCATACCTCTCAGTACTGACGGAATAGACCTTAAATTAACTAACCCTTTGACTTGTAAAAATGTATATTGTCTTCATTTAACCATAACTCGAAAAATGTCTGTTTCTCATCTGTTTTCCTCTAACCCTTAAGCCAAATAATTATGAAAGTCTTCATTTAGTGACTGCATAGAACGAATATATTATGTGTGCGTGCGTGCGTGCGTGCGTGCGTGCGTGCGTGCGTGTTTGTGCCACGGGTGCGTCATGACTATGCGTGCACTATTTGTACGAGCTTCAATTCTATTTAAAAATATGAGTTTTCTCTGAATTATTTACCAATAAGGTAGATACGAGAAAGACTTTTACATATGTTATACATATTCAGATTCAGGGATCAGGTTAAAAAATCTCAACTTAAACACTTATGCAACGAGAGCTTCCTTGAAGCTCCATATAACGTCTTGACCAATCCTCTAGGTGGTACAGACATACATAAATGTGTATCTGGGGTGAATCTTTTTTGAGCACAATTTATAACACATTTATAACGCAAAATCTGTACAACTCAGTATATCTTTTATAACCATATGGTCAAGGCCAGATTTTTGTCCTTCGGTCGAATTATGACATCCAACTTGAGCGACGTATGGACACAGTTTGAATGGCATTGTACTTGGTGTGTTAGTAAGTAAAACACTAATTCATGGATAACAACTTTTTTATTAAATGTAGTTATTATCCATAAATGCAAGTTATATGACTGTTTGTATGTGTGATGCTTTCCCTGCATGTAAATTGTCTCGGGAATGCAATCTTGTATTAATTTTTTGTTGAAGTTCTATGCACTTTTTATGTCAAACACAAGTTGTTCCTATACATGAAAATAGAAGGAACCGTTATACTGTTCTTTCATTGGAACCACGCAATACCTCACTCCAGTGTTTGTGCTTGACTTCATGGGCGTCGTCACTAGTAACGGCGTCCGTCAATGTCGTCATCGCCATCATCATCTCCATTGCTGAATTGTTGCAGCAATCCCTATACCATCATCATCGTCATTACATCCATCCTCATCCTCAGACCTTCCTGAAGGTCAAGTTCACTAACTTGGTTAACACATGCCATCGTATCCCAATTGCGTAGATCGATGCTCATGCTGTTGATCACTGGATTGTCTGGTCCAGACTCGATTATTTACAGACCGCCGCCATATAGCTTTAATATTGCTGAGTTCGGCGTTAAACAACAAACAAACGGTTCTTTAAGGCACCGCAAGTCTGTATGCACAACTGCGTCCCTGCGTATGTTACTAGTTTCGCCAGCTGCTTTTTGTTTGATGGTTTCACTAAGGTGGTAAATTGCTGAGACATGAGTTACTTCGGGATTTCCTCCCTTTATAGCGATTACGATGTGATATAACTCGATATCTCTAGAGATGCATACTGTCCAATGCGAACAACAGTCATTATCATCATCATCATTATCAGGATCTCCTACATAAGCATAATCTAGTCCCTCACCGCGTAGTTACACGCCCACATGACATGCATGTGTTTTAAACGCCCACATGACATGCATGTGTTTTAAACCGCTTTAATCCGTTCCCCGTTAAAACGGACATCACGCTACGCGATCGTTGGTTCGAATCCCATGTTTTTGTTTTGTTTTGGTTTTTTGTTGTTGTTTTTTGGGGGGAGGGGTTGGGTGAGTGTGGAAAATAATTCAGATTGTGTCTTCGTTAGTATTATCAAGATCAAATCATTTCGACATCGACACGAACCGACGATTAGTGGATCTTGGAACTGCCAGGGGACGCAACTCAGCATACAGAATTTCGATGCCTTAACCCCAGATGAAATTTCAGTTAATTTGCCCTTTGTGACATTTATTTCATAAGGTCATATAAATGCGTGTACATATATACTTGACATTTCATTATGTTACTACTTATATCAGCTCACTCTGTGATAAAGGCAAACCATCTTGTTTCTGAAAATATTTTTATACGAACCTGGCAAATAGGCAATGTTATCAGTGTATCAATATTTATAATAAAATATCATGTTTACTTCTGTTTTTGGTTGTTTGTACCAGTGTGCGAAACAGTTTCCACATTTTGCTTGCTAGTAGGGCTAGCTATGCCTGAAAGTTACTAGCCCACAAAATATTTCACTAGCCTGAATGCAACTAAGCAAAAGATTACAAAAATAGATGAGAATAATTTTAAGATACTGTCGGCATGACACGGGTTTTATCATTAAGCTGCTAATATGATAAACATTTTTATCAGGCCATAATCTTACATGATTTAAAAGTGTATTATAACTAAAAAGTGGGAAAGAGTGATATATTCAGAAAATGATCCCATGGAAATTCATTCGCAAGGAGGGCCAGTGACTGTGGAGGTTTACTGGCCCGATTGGATTTTACTAGCCACGGGCTAGTGGTTAAAACGTTCGCCCGTCACGCAGAAAACCCGGGTTCGATTCCCCACAGTGTGAAGTTCATTTCTGGTGTCCACCGCCGTGATATTGCTGGAATATTGCTAAAAGCGGCGTAAAACCAAACTAACTCACTCACTCATTTATTTTCTATTTGGTGAAAGAAAGACAAATATACTACACACGAAGTTAAGACATTCGTGTAGTTCATTACAAGCAGATCTGTTTCGTGTTAATCTATCAGAGAGTAGAGCTTGCAATTGTGGTGCTCCGGTGGAAGATGCTAACCATTTCTTCTTAAAATGTCCAACATTTGTCAGTTGCCGTTTTGATCTGAAGAAAGACTTTGAACTATCAAAAGTTCAGTTAGACATTGATACCATTCTTTACGGCAACCCTGCTCTGCCAAATACTATCAATGAACATATCTTTAGACATGTGCATAAATACATTGTACGAAGTAAGCGCTTCAATTAATCAATAATATGTCTCAATATTAGTATGTCCATCCATTACGTCCAACCATTATTGGTCATTATTGTTCATGTTTCTGATGGGAGCGGGCGGTAATAAGTTACATAACTTGTGCCCAATCCATTTCAACACTGAATAAAATATGTTCAAACAAACAACTCATTTATCAGGAATATTGCCGTGTGCATTAAACAAAGGAAAAAACCATATAAATGGTTGTGCAATCACGTCATAAAATGCTGTCTAAAACATAATCCGAAACTCCGGAAAGACGTGACAATACACATTTTGACTGAACACATATGATAGGATAAATGGATAAGTTGGTTCAAACATGTTATTTTTAGCACAATCTACATTTGCATATGGATTAAGTTTCGTTTATTGGCTGATATTTCAAAATTGGTTTCTTACGTCCATAATCAGTAAAAGAATCAAGGCAAATTTACATAACGGGAATACGCGAACGGAAAGCAACCTATCTATATTCGGGATTTAGCACTGGTAGATAAAAGGGGCGTGGTATCCCATCTACTTTTTCAGACACACCACTTGCCCAGGTGTGTCAGTCTTTTGTCTCGAATGTTTTTTTCTCTAAATCCTGGACCCGAGTTTCCGCGAAAGACGTATTCCGTCCATATCATGCGGGCTTTGGCTGAAACCAGAGGTTAATGTCATGAGCAAAGATCCAAATCGAACTAATTCATTGGTCATCTCTTACGGAACATGAGGTGAGGTGAGGTGAAATTGGGTTTAACGTCGTGCTTGAGAATATTTCGCTCATATGACGACGTGCATGCATGTGTATGTGTATGTGCGGCTGCTTGTACTAGCCCAGACTTAAGCTTGTTTTATAGTGCTAGCCCACTGAGATACCATGCCGCAGTGAAGCATGAATACCCCACTCAGACACATTATACTGACTCCGAGCCGACCAGTCCTTGTTGTACCCATTAATGCCAAGCGCCAGGCAAGGACCAACAAGTACCATATTTTAACGTGTTTTGGTATGACGCGGTCGGGGATCGAACCCGCGACTTTCCGCTCTCCGGGCGGACGCTCTAACCACTACACTACGGAGGCGGTCTACGGAACATGAGTACTGGAGGCTTATGTTATCCCCGTATTCTCATATACATTGTAATGGGTGACATGTGACTGGATACACGTGATTACGAGGTGAGAAATCCAACGGCATGAAATGAATTTCACACTTGCCACCAAGAAACCCTCCGGTAACTATCGGGGCGATGGGGTAGCCTAGTGGTTAAGGCGTTCGCTCGTCACGCCGAAGACCCGGGTTCGATTCCCCTCATGGGCACAATGTGTGAAGCCCATTTCTGGTGTCCCCCGCCGTGATATATT